GAGGGCGGAGTCCAGTGGTGCTCACTGGGCACGCGGACGCTTCTTGGGCTGACGACCAGGCTACGCAGCGGTCGTCGCAGGGTTACACCTTCAGTCTTGGTTCCGGCTCTGTCTCGTGGCGGGCTACTCGCTCGTCCTCTGTTCTCGGCTCCAGTTGTGAGGCTGAGATCTACGCCGGGGCCATGGCTGCACAGGAGCTTCGCTGGCTCACCTACCTGCTGACTGACCTTGGAGAGCCGCCTCGTTCTCCTCCAGTGCTGTACGTAGACAACAAGGCCATGCTGGCCTTGTGTCGAGAGCAGCGCTTGGAGCACAGAACGAAGCACATTGCTCTCCGTTACTTTCTTGCTCGTGAGCTGCAGCAGCGTGGTCAGTTGCGACTTGCGTACGTGGCCTCTGAGGCCAACACTGCTGATGTGTTCACCAAGGCACTTCCGCCTTGTGACCATCAGCGCTTCTGCACTCAGCTGGGTCTTGTACCTGTCTTGCCTCACTTGCTCTCCTCTTGACCTTGCTTGTACTGTCACATATATATATACCTGCTCTTGCTTGTCTAGCTCTATATATATATGTGCACTCCTGCATGTGAACTGGCCTTGTGGCCTTGTCGTTGTGCTCGGACTGTGTGGTGACTTTGTGATCCACCCTGAGCTTGCTGTTCTTTGCGTGACTGGTCTTGTGACCCCTTGTTCTCCCCCACTTTGCCTATGGGGGTGTGTCAGAACATATATATAGCTTATGCTGTTGTGTAGGCTATAGTGGGGTATCCCATAGGGGGTACAACCCAATTAGGGTTTCCTATATGTACTCACTTCATTCATAGTTCATCCATTCTCGTTCTCATTTTCACAATTTCACCTTGCTGGTTTTGATGGTGGTCCCAAACATGCCACCCTGGACTACAATGGTTTCAAACAATTCGCTGACTACACGATCCCCAGCTTTTGATTGGACCCCCAAACGAACCCCAGCTTCGGATTGGACCGCCTAATGTGGAATCTATTATCTGCAACGATGACAAAATCCCATGTCATCAATTTGAGACACGTAGGCTGTTTCAATGGCTAACAAAGAAACACAATTGGAAACACAAAACTAAAAAATCTATTGACGTGGCCAAAAAAGTTGCCGTTCAATTCAACGCCGCGGTTCGTTTCTCGAAGCGTGATACCAAAATAAGCCCCTCCAGTGCTAAGGAGGCGGTTGTTGGCAGAAGAGCTGGGAGGGAAGTTGAGGTCGCGGTCTTGGGGTGTCCTGTGACATGCTGACCTGGAAAGTCACCGTATTGGGGTAGGCAATGTCAGAATATTATGTTTGTCTAGCCTGCAGTGGGGTACTCAATAGTGAGTACAGCCCAATTTAGGGTTTCCTATATGTACTCAACTGCTTGCTAATGAAACTATCCTCCTTCCATTCATTCCTCATTTCTTCACATGGTATAGAGCTGGTTCCCTCCTGGGACTGTTCCTTCCTTGGGCCCACCACTGAATTTTTTTTTTTCTGACCGAAGCGCGAGTCGCCCCTGCCCGAGGCGCGCCCCGTGGGCCGCCCTCTCGACGCGTCCCCTGCCCTTAGCGGCCCGTCGCGCCCTAGAGGCCCCTCTCACGGCCCCTCGCGCCACCCCTAGCGGCCCCGTCGCCGCCCTTAGCGGCCCCGTCGCCACCCTTCGCGGCCCCGTCGCCGCCCCTAGCGGCCCCGTCGCCGCCCTTCGCGGCCCCGTTGCCGCCCTTCGAGGCCCCTCGCGGCCTCTTCGCGGCCCCGTCGCCGCCCCTAGCGGCCCCGTCGCCGCCCTTCGCGGCCCCGTCGCCGCCCCTATCGGCCCCGTCGCCGCCTCCAGCGGCCCCGTCGCCGCCCCTAGCGGCCCCGTCGCCGCCCCTATCGGCCCCGTCGCCGCCTCCAGCGGCCCCGTCGCCACCTCCAGCGGCCCCGTCGCCGCCCCTTGCGGCCCCGTCGCCGCCCCTTTCGGCCCTGCCTCGACCCTGCCCCGGCCCCGCCCCGGCCATGCTCCGTCGCCTGTCGCGGCGCACCGGGGACCCGTGCACCGCCCCCCCCTCTTTTCCCGTCGCCTGTCGAGGCGACCTGAGGGGGCCTGGGGGGGGGGGGGGCGAGCGTCGCCCCTTCTGCCGCCTGTTTTGGCGCCCTGGGAGGCCGCGCGTCGCCCCCCCCCCCCCCCGTAACCTCCCTACCCGCCGTCCCGCCCTGCCCTGTGTTAGGGTCTAGGGGTGGCGAGTAGGGGGTGGCGGGTGTGTGGTCTCCCCTGCTCCTCCTCCTCCTCTGTCTCCCACTGCTGCAGCTGCCGCTGAGGGGGGTGGGTGTGTGGAAGTCGACGGAGTGGTGCTAGGGGGTGGGGTGTGAGTGAACCTAGGGTGCAGCAGGGGGTGTGTGAAAGGGGGGTGGGATAGTTTGGGGAGGTTGAAGGGGGGTGGCCGCCGTGAAGCCCGCAGCTCCAGTCGCCCGTGAGACCGTTGCGCCAGTCGCCCGTGAGCCCGTTGCGCCAGTCGCCCGTGAGCCAGTTGCTCCAGTCGCCCGTGAGTCCGTTGCTCCTGCCGCTCAGAGTTAGCCGCGGAGCCAGTTACTCCAGTAGCCCGTGTGCCAGTTGCTCCAGTTGCCAGTGTGCCAGTTGCTCCAGTTGCCCGTGTGCCAGTTGCTCCAGTTGCGCCGTGTGCCAGCAGCTTCAGCTGCCGCCCACTACCTCCTCTCCTCTCATAGTCCCTCCTCCTCCACACTTGCCCTCGGTGATAGCTTCTAGCTTTGCTTACATTTGTGAACTTTAAACTGTTGCTTCTTGTACTTGTGCTCAGATTGTGTGGTGACATTGTGATCCACCCTGAGGTTGTGTTTTGCTTGCTTGTTGTGCTGATTACACCCCACTTTGGCTATGGGGGTGTGTCAGAATGTTATGTTTGTCTAGCCTGCAGTGGGGTACTCAATAGTGAGTACAGCCCAATTTAGGGTTTCCTATATGTACTCAACTGCTTGCTAGTGAAACTATCCTCCTTCCATTCATTCCTCATTTCTTCACAGGCAACGCGTGCCCCTTGTCGCTTGGGTAGACCCCGCCCACTGTACACCTGTACTCGTGTACCAATGAAATTCGCGCGCGATCCAACGGATGCGAAGTCGGGTCGTGCAAAAGTGTCGCAGGAGTGCACATTGGCAGCCCTGCGACGTGTGTGTGAGCGGGCATATTGCTAGCACGTGGTACCAACGTGCGGGGTGTCCAGAGTTCGGGTGTCCTGGACACCCCAGGACCGCGATCCGAGATCTGCGCGGTTGGGCGTGACAGCAGCGGCGGTAGAGGGGAGCGACGATAGAGGTGTAAACCCATCATTAGCCAGAAGGAGAAGCTCGAGTCATGGTTTAGCGAACTGCCGTGGTGTCATGTAACTGAGAGAATTGCTCTAGGGCCTTGTTTGGTGATTCGCTCTTGCCCACGTGTCCCCGAATTGCTCGCGTGGCCATCGAATTCAGTGATAATTGCTCGAGTGGCCACGCCATGGGATTTTAGAGGTGTTTTGTTTTCCGCGGCACATTACCCTACAAGGAATTTAGCCCCGAAAGTCCTCTCACGTACTCGTCTCATCCCGCGCAAACGTTCTGTACTATTCCCAACTCGAAAATTTCGCAATGTCTAATATGCCCTGCGCATAAAACGGACCAATCATATTTAGACATTTCGTGATTAGTCCGTTTTATGCGCGGGGCATACTTGGACACTGCACGTCCAATCATATACGGTCATATAAAGTCCTCATAATAAATTTCGGATAAATGAAACCGCTCAATTACCTATATGATCACGGATTTATATGCTTGAGTGCTTATTGGTTACGAATTCGTTTGACCGAGCGCTCATTGGTCGCGCATTAGGCCGAAATTGGGCGCACATATACTTTTGGTCGTGATTATTTGTCGGTTTCCTATACAGCGAGTGGGCCACGTTCGCGCCCGCCCACCCTGACGAAGTTTTCGAGTGGGGAATAGTCCCCAACGCTTGCGCGGGATGAGACGAGTATGTGAGAGGACTTTCGGGGCTGAATTCCTTGTAGGGTAATGTGCCGGGGAAAAAAAAACACCTCGAAAATCCCCTGGCGTGGCCACTCGAGCAATTATCACTGAATTCGATGGCCACGCGAGCAATTAGGGGACACGTGGGCAAGAGCGAATCACCAAACAAGGCCTTGGAGCAATTCTCTCCATGTAACTTCTGCTGTGAAACTGGGTTTCCAGAAGGCGCGTTGAGTGCTGAGGGTTGCGAAAGGTTTTCGTGCATGCTTGTGGCGACGGCGAAGCAGTTCGTGATTCTTTGAACGTGCAGACTTGGTGTACAGGGAACACGGGAGGATTTTTGGATGTGTGAAGGTCGAATATGGTTGAACACTGTTCGAATGTTTTTAGCGGGTTTGCAGCGCGCTGCGAAGTCAGTCCCAAATCACATCCCACACCTGGGAGATTGTTCCCTGCCTGATAAGTCAGTGAGTGTTACGAGGTAAAAGTGGAGTGTTCCAGCTAACCACTAGCACCGTAAAGCACCAGACGATACCGTTTCACCACTCAAAATCTCAAGGCACGTACTGTATTCGTTCCCGCGAAAATCCCCCAACTTTCCCCCAGGGAGTTCTGCCTTACTCGGGACTGGGAAATGACTCGCTTTGCGGGCTACGCTACACTACACGGACATTTCCTTGGCGAGCGATGAGATCAGTGGACTGCAGCCCCTTCGGTGGCTTCGGTGTTTGTGCACATTAATAAATGCCAATATAGGTACACCTCCTGCATTTGGAACAGTTGCATTTGGTCCAAGATGTACATATGCAGAGCATTCCTGCATTGTTTCTGATCATATGGTAGTGTTACGTTTCAGGTGGGCTGCCAAGTGCTGTTGACAGAAGGCTTTAAGCGGAATAGGGTACATTGCTTCAGTATAAACATAATCTCCTAGTACGGTACAAGTTTAAGGTGAGAGCAGAACCAGCTGCAACGCACTGTTTTAGAGAGCCTTACAGGCCGCCAAAGATGACCTCAGCCTGCTCTGGGAAGAACTTGAGGAAGAGAATAGCGCCTGCAGGGATGTGGCAGGGACATTGGTTGAAGGCAAGCGACACATGCAGTGCACTAGAGGGCCTATCTATGAGAGGACAAGAAACATTAGGCAACAGGGAAGGGGATACCAGGTATGGACAAACAACAATTGCTCTACCATGAATGTGTCAGAGTGACATCAGCAAACGCATTCAGTGCAATGGAAGGCAGCGAAGGCCATGGTACTCACAGATGAGGATAGACCCGAGAATGATGGAGAATTCCTTCTGGATGGAAACAAACCCTCCCTTTCCTGCGTTCTGAAGCTCCCTCTCGCCCTCCTTGGGAAACACTCCTGCAGCAAATTGAGTAGATGGAAGGCACATGCAAAATGAGATTAAACCGAACAACATCAAGGCTAAGACACACGAAATTCGTGGTATTCAGTGGCTCGTAATTTAAAATTTCGTCCTGATAGGTTTGCCATTCTTAGGTTGTAGGAAAACGCTGCTCACCTGGCTTGAGCTTGTTGAGGCCCTCCGTGACAACAATGTCGGTGTATCCGAGCCTCTCCAGGTCCGACGCCACAGACAGCGAGCTGGGGAACAGTGGCGGATGAAGGTGGCAAAGTCAAGGCTCAATTGAAAGCCTGAAATGGTAAATTACTATTGATTTTCTTTTCACATATTAGGGAAACCAAGGGTTTGCAATTAGGGACCAATTTCTTCGCTCTCGTCCTCGCCTTCCGTTGAGGAACATTTGCAGCAGAACGATTACTAATTATGTACTTATAATCTTACCGGAGGCCTTCTTGGCACACGAAGAGAATCTTGGCGTCAGGCGAGGAGAACTTGGAGCGGATGGTGGAGATGAAGTCCGGGTTGGGCTTGGTGAACGCCAGGCCGTACAGATTGCCGGGCATGCTCGTGTGAGCCGCCCGTCGGATCATCGTTCCTGGCGGAGAGAAGGGGATGCGCGGGAAGAGTTGAACTCGAGTAATGGCACCAACGTTGATGGATGAAACGCATTGGAGGAATTTGGATTCTGCAAGTGCAGCATCATACGCTTCGGCAGGGACCACGCAAGGCCATTCACATACCAACGTCATTGTCGGTGTTTAGGATAAACGCGGGAATGTGAATGCTCCCGGGAATCCTGGCGCGATCGTACTGCGTGATGTCACGGATGTCCACGATGGTGTACCCGTCCTTATCCACCGCCTCCTTCGCCTCGTCCCACGTCAGAATATCCACCGCTCGCGGCGACACAACCGCAACGCGGCGCTGCGACTGAGGCCTCGCAGCCCGCGCGCGGCTTGTCAGGCGAAGGCTGCTGCCGAACACGTTCTTGCAGCTGAGAGTTGCAGCGGTCCTGCAGGTCGGGAAATGGAAGAAGAGTTGATGAGACGGCGGGTGTGCTTGGTCTACTACTTGCAATACGTGAGTGAAGGCTGCTAACGAGAATAGAGTGTCTCCAAACTTTCTAGAAAACCGCATTCGGCATACCGTGTCGCGCTGCTTTGTGGCGTCAATGCGACGACTGATGTGCACGAGAAAGCGGAGGTCGACGCTGTGCAAGCCATGGTTGATAGTCAGGAAACAGCGATTCAGAAACTCGGTTCCTGAAAGAGTTTCTGGAAGCTATCACCTCAAGCTATCTGGTTCTTCCTCAAGGTCAGCGGAATAAGGATTGATTCCTGATTTGAGTGAACCTCGAAATTGTCGATCAGTGAAACAGATTGCCTCTGGCCTAGGAACCTGGAGATCCCCGAAATTCGCCCCGCAGATAGGCCGATTACACTTAGTAGCCGCCCTCGATTGTGTCACAATGCTACTTGGTCATCTTTTCGCTACCAGCTAGTGAGAGGTGGAAATTAGGTATTGGCGGAGAGCACAACTTTCCAAGCTGGAGATACTGGAAAGATTTGCCTCGTCCAGGTGGCGGAGGCCACACGAGCGCATTGCATCCTCGTTAGGAAAAAACAGAACAAGAATTTTGAAAGCCAGTTTATACCTTCAGATTACATTTTGTACATCTCCACTCCACAACACACCCAAAAATTGGCGGGAAAGAATTGTGACGTTAGCTTCACGCCACGGGATCTTCATGAATGTTACGACTCCTGACACCAGCCACTCTCTGCGATTCACGGGCAACCACTAGCATTTCCTCCGCAACTTGAAGTCATCGCAGTTCTCCCCACCCAGCTGTTGACATCTCTCACCTATCAGCAGAAGTGCAAGCCACACTTCCGCGTGCTTCGTGTAGCGTCTCCCTGAAGCCTCTCGCTCTCCGTCACTTTGACGCTATTTCCGCATGCTTGTTGACGCCTCTTTCTTGGATTTCTGAAAGTGACCTACCATGTATTTCAAAGGAGTACGAGTTTGGCACAGGACTGTTTCACGCGACGCAGTAGAGCAAAAACGCCTGTCTAGTGTAAATCATGGCCATTTTTTATCGTCGTCCGTTTGCTTCCTCTTCTTTTCCATCAGCATCGGACGATAGCTTCCCGAATCAGTCACGCCAGTTGGTCGACGCTCATGAATCAAGTCCTTTCAGCAGAATAGCATCGCGCCCGAACGTTCTCCGACAACCCAGAACGCCGGTTATAGAAGCATCACCCGTAAGCATTCCAGGATTGATAGCCGGACCAGCGCGAGGTAGTAGGCATATATTAGATCACTTGTTAGCGAGGATGGCGAATGAACCGGAACTACCGCCAGGGTCTGCGGTGCCTGCCACGTCAGCAGCACCAACGGCGGGGGTTCCGTCGTGCTCGTCCTCGCCGCCGGTCTCACCGTACGAGCTCGCGAAAGAACTGGCGAAATCGTCGCCGAAGTGTTACATACGTGGCCAGTGGGGAATTCTCCACGGAATTAACGCAAACGCGAAGCAGCGACCTAAGGTACGCCAGCCACCACATGGAAGCCACGTCAGCCTTCCCCGTTCACCTGCACCGCTCCTACAATATGCAACAACAGCCCGTTGTTTTAATCCAAAAAGCTGTAACCTTGTCATCGTCCCAGGCTAATTCTAGGTCTTCCATGGACCATCGCATGCAGGGCCCGCTCATCCCGTTGGTGAATCGCGACACGCTGCTGGGCCGCCAGGTGCCTCCGCCCTTCCAGTTCGCCAGCCCCTCCGTCTCCGCGCGCTGCACTTCTATTTTTTAATTCGAAAATGCTGAAGAAGATCGATCTAAATCCGAAATTTTGGTGAAGTTCGGGTTACTGTGCGTTTGGCGTTTACACAACTGAATTTTGTCTTGACTGAACAGTGATACTGTTCGAGAAGTGCACCACGCTCGTGTTTTGCATGCGAACTTGAACGCCATAGCGCCCCAAACGCGGGCAAACGATAGTGCAGAATTCCCCGTCAAATGCTCGAACTTGACAGAGAATTGCACCATCCCAAAAGGTGAACTCCAGTTGCGAAATCAACGAAAAACTAGCGACGGTAACAGAATAGTTACGATGTCTAAACGAAATTATTTGATTGGCTAGACGACGTCTACAGTGTACGTGCGACCTTATTTTGGTCGCACGGTAGGAGTTCGGGTTCCCCAAAAAACCAGTCTTGGTGCACCTGACAAAGGGTGCCGATATTCTGTGTTTTTGCATGTTCAAGTTCGAAAACACTGAAACGCGGGCAAGTTCGCCCAAAACCCGCTCCAAATAATTTTCGAATTATTAAATAGAAGTGCAGCGCGCCCTTAGTATTTTTGCCTGATGCTGGCCCAGCGTGCATGGCGGCAATGTCAACCTTTCCCTCACCTCGTGTCGTCGCCACAGTCGCAGGCGAACACCCCAACTAGAACTGTCGCCACTGTCGCAGGCGAGCTGTGCATACCGTGGTAAATCTTCCCTAATATGTTCAATAATGAAACACGCACATTTGTGTGTATATGATATTCCCAGTGCGTTTAGTATCAGTGTCCCTGGGGCTGTATACTTGGGGGCTTTAACGGAAATCATCATGTTTCTAAGCAAGCGGTGGTGAACCAGATATCCAGCATGGCGAGGGTAACTATCCACGAGTAATGCGTGCTATCAGGCGACAAGTCAGGACGAGAAAGCGTTACCGAGGTCATTGGAACAAACCTCTCATATCCTTGGAGCGGCAGTAGCCTGACATGGAAAAACACAGCAGGAAGCAAGGAATTGGGTTGAAAATTCTGTCAAATGAAAAGACCTAATATTTTACCACCTCACATGATCAATGAATTCAGAATGAAATATTACATTGTGTTACAGAGCAATGTGTTGTAATCGATTGGAAGTGATTTGTTTGTTTGTTTGATTTTTATTTTCTTTTCTTTTTTAAGCACGAATCTGGCATGATTACCACCTTGTCAATCTATGCTCTGCCCGTAAATCATGTTCAGTCACTTGCTGCTGGAATTGTTTGCAATGGTGTGGTTTAGATGCCTGAATGTGGTTCAACGCGGTTCAGTTTGGAGTGATGAGATTCTGACATGAGGTGAGTGAAATGCCGCTAAAGCACCGCCAACTTAAAAGCTTCTTTCTGATGCGCCACCTACCTGGAAGCTTCCTCCTGAAGCGACACCCACCTGAGAATTTCTCTGAACTGAAGTGGCACCCAGTTCTTCAGCCAATACTGCAAATTGAAAGTCTCCCACCCACCTGAAAACTTACGAAAACTTTCCCTGAAGTGCCACCGACCTGGAAGCTTCCTCCTCGAAGGCTATGCCGCGCACGTTGTTGCTTTTGTTGATCACCCAGCGCGGCTTGATGTCCTCTCTGGCTGCCCACGGACCAAAGAAGGTCACCTGCCGCGCGTCCTGCAAGCGACGGCGCAGGCTGGGCAGCAGGTGCGAGGCTGAGAGGGCAAGGAGAGGATCATGGGGCGCACAGCACAGAGCACATGAGAGGGCAAGGAGAGGATCATGGGGCGCACAGCACAGAGCACATGAGAGGGCAAGGAGAGGAAGAGGCGTCGGGCAGCACGCACGCACACACGAGAGAGCAGCAGGTGCGAGGCTGGGAGCGGATGTACGGCTGTGGAGCAAGGAGGGAGTGCAGTAGCACGATTAGAACACGGATGAGAACACCACAACATGAAACAGGGGAGGAATGGAGATGCTCTGAACGCATGTGCGCTGGTAGAGTGCAGGCACAGCAGATTATTCAAGAAAGGAAGGAAGAAAGTAAGAAAGGAAGGAAGAAAGAAAGGAAGAAAGAAAGAAAGAAAGAAAGAAAGAAAGAAAGAAAGAAAGAAAGAAAGAAAGAAAGAAAGAAAGAAAGAAAGAAAGAAAGAAAGAAAGAAAGAAAGAGAGAAGGAAGGAAGAAAACCATTCTTCTACCACGCACTTGCGGTTCGTCGGTAGTCCAGTGTGGAGTTGAGTGTGGTGAGATCGTGCAGGGAGGCGCCAAAGGCAACGAGTCGGAAGGGAGTGTCTGGGCGGCTCAGCACGTCGTCTCCCAGGAGGCTGGTGTTGAACATCCACGCTGGCAGCACCTCCTGCACCGCCCCCATCTGTGCCACGTATGTTAGATTGAACTCAAAGGCGCGGCCGCTTCTTCTGGTCATGTTGAACCTGGGAGGGGCAACGGGAGGTGCAGCGCTCACTCATTGACTGAAACCAAAGACCGGAATGGGACAGCATGAGAAGAGCGTGGTTCTTGGCATGGCATATATTCCAATCACAAGCCGTTCAACAAAAGGTGCTTGGCGTTTCCCCTGCATGTGGAGCGTAGCGCCCCAGGCTCCCCTCGTGCGCACGAAGGCTTGGTCCGGCTCACCTCGTGCCAGCCCCACCTGGTGCCAGCCCCACCTGGTGCCAGCCCCACCTCGTGCCAGCCCCACCTCGTGAGCACGTAGCCATAATAGAGCTAGCCATAGTGGAAGGTGTTGGTGTAGTGGGTTCCACTCACACGCATGCGCAGCACCTGAGTTGAATTTTGAGTCGACTCAAAACACGGCTCACCTGGTGCGCACGAAGCCATCATAGAGCGAGCCATAGTAGAAGGTGTTGGCGTAGTCGGTTCCGCGCACACGCATGCAAAGCACCTTCTTCGGTCCACTCCCCACGCTTTCGTCAAAGGGGCTCCACACCTGGGGAAAGCCATGGAACCCGTGCACGCCCTGTGGGGGGCAGATGCGGCAGGCAGCACACGGGCAGCAGGCAGACAGACAGAGAGATGCACAATCGGTTATTGAAGCCACTCCCCATGCTGCCGTTAAAGGAGTTCCACACCTGGGGAAACCCATGCAACCCGTGAGAGATGCGGAAGGACATGGTTTCTCAAAAATCGCTCACAGGGGAAACACATGGAACCCATGGTAGCCGTGTCCAGGGGAGATACGGACGCACACGGGCAGACAGGCAGACAGATTCCACATACAGGACCAAACAGGTACCTGCTTTTGAGTCGACTCACAAAAAGGCTTGCCTAAAAAAAGACGACTCAAGGTACACAGCATACATGGAGTGGGGTTGAGTAGATACTTTTGAGGCGCCTCCAAAAGGCGAATCAAGGTACACAGCATACATGGAGTGGGTGGGGTTGAGTGGATACTTTTGAGGCGCCTCAAAAAAGGCGACTCAAGAATTGATTCATTCGCAATACACAGCATGCACGGGGTTCAGCGGTGGCAGTCAGGCATGCAGGCGTGCAGGCAGTCAGGCATGCAGGCAGCAAAACAACGGCACACACGGGGCTTGCTTGCCTGCATGTTGACCTTCTCGGAATCCACAAAGGCTGCGCGCGAGTGTGCATGAAGGAAGACCTGGAGGAAGCCGAAGAGGTAGCGCATCTCTGAGTCGCCTGCCGTAGGAGGGGGTGACAAAGGAGGGTGTGACAAAGGAGGGGGTTCAAGCACAACAGCCCAGGCAGCACATGGCATTACAAGTGGAGGAAGAGCTGGAGGAAGCCGAAGAGGTATCACATCTCTGAGTCGCCTGCCGTACCATACAGTGTGCACACACGACAGGTGGGGAGCAAGGGGGGTTGTTTAGTCGACTCAAAAGCCCAACAAGTGGCGCATTTATGAGTCTCCTGCCGTGCACCCCTTACCCACGAGCACCCTCACTTACCCATGAGCAACCCCCCCTACCCATGAGCATCCCTCCTTACCCATGAGCACCCCTCCCTACCCATGAGCACCCCTCCCTACCCATGAGCACCCCTCCCTACCCATGAGCACCCCCACCCACCCATATCCCCCCTTCCCCACCCATGAGCAGCACGCGTTGCTTGCGGTGGAAGCAACGGAGCACACTGGCCGGCTGCACAGCCTTGAGGCGGCACGCGCCCCTCATTCCCACCCCTCCCTACCCATACCCTCCTCTACCCATGAACAGCACGGCCTACCCACCCATGAGCACCCCCCCCCCCCTCTTACCCATGAGCAGCACACGTTGCTTGCGGTGGAAACAACGGAGCACATCGGCGGGCTGAACGGACTTGAGGCGGCACGCGTGGGGGCGCCAATGCTGGTCCTTCCAGTAGCCCTCATTGCCGGACGAGCGCAGCAGGGCAGGCGTGCACCAGGGGAGGCTCCTTCTGGCCAACAGGGAGAGGGTGGAAGGGAGGGAGGGAGGGAGGGAGGGAGGGAGGGAGGGAGGGAGGGAGGGAGGGAGGGAGGGAGGGAGGGAGGGAGGGAGGGAGGGAGGGAGGGAGGGAGGGAGGGAGGGAGGGACGGAGGGAGGGAGGGAGGGAGGGACGGAGGGAGGGGCTGCTTCGGCTGACAGGCCTTGGATATGAGTCGGTTTTGATTGGTTTCTGTTCAGTTTTGATATCCGTCAGTGCATTAGGGAATGCAGGAGATGGCCGCCTTCAGGTAGTAGGTTTTGACCTCCTGAATCCGGACCGCCTGGCTGCTGCAGCCCATCCTGTAGCAGCTTGGTGTAGGAGCTGTCAAAAGCGGGCAGGAGCTGTCAAAAGCGGACAGGAGATGTCAAATCTTCACTATAGAATCAGAACATTGTGTACCAGCTGGCTGCACTGCAGCCCATCCTGTAGCAGCTTGGTGTTGAGCATTCTCAAAACCAACCTCCAGCCCCCCTCACTCTTCCTTCTCCTCCCGGTCTACTCTGGAGAACTCACTTCATACTCCTGCTTATTGCCGCCTAATCAAGACCTCACTGATGCGCCATCACGCTCACCTAAGCGCGTCTGGGAAGTACGGCTGGGGGCTGGTGACTAGCAGCTTGCGAAGGGCCACCAGATGATAGCTGCACAGAGTGACGGCAGGTGGTGAGTGGCCAAGCAGTGGTGTGACGGCAGGCAGTGCACGGGTGGGGGAAGATGTCGGGATGAGGGGGGTTATGGATAATTGATGGGAGATCCTGGGAGCTAAGAAAAGGTATGGGTAGGGGTGTGCGTGCACGGTGCGAGAACGTGTGTGTGCCACTGCAGCCTCTGCATGCTCCCCCATAACAGTGCCACTGCAGCCTCTGCATGCTCCCTCCCCCACAACAGGATGCACCTACTTTTGGAAGCCTTGGTTGTAGACCTTGCTGAGAGCAGTGCGGGTCTGACAGGCGTTGGAGAAGAGCAGATGCAGCGAGAGCAGGTAGGGGCCGGGGAAGGGCGCTGTGAAGCACACCTGGGGGTGCACGGACGGAGTGGGGGCACGAGAGAGGTGGGTTGGATGAAAGGAAGGCGAGGTTGGAGTGAGGGAGAGGTGAAGGAAGGGGGGGTGAGTGGCGACAGGATGGGAGGGAGCAAGGGAGCTTTTTCACTGATGGGAAAGGGCAGCGGCCGTGATGGGAAACCAAGCCGATAGATAGACTGACTTTGAGGCGCTTCAAAGGTAGTGGCACTGCTGGGAAACCAAGCCGATGCACTTCACACAGCGGCCAACCAACCAAAGAGTACGGTAGAAGCATCTTACCCCTCTGCATGGCATCAACCCATAGCCATGGCCTCTCACCCCTCTTAACCGTGGCTCCAGGGGTCCTGCTCCTCTCACTTCTGAAAGGGCCTCACACCTCGCTGCTCTACGAGCCACGCCTTCATACTCGAGTTGAGGCTGAGCATCAGGTCAAGAGAGGAGCGATTTCGGGAGAACTATTCGTTCGAGAGAGAGGAAAGGACTTTTGAGGCGCATCAAAAGGGCCTCACACCTCGATGCTCTATGAGCCATGCCTCAATACTCGAGGAGTTGAGCATCAGGCTGAGAGAGGAGGGAGGGACTTCAGGAGAACCATTCGTTCGACATTTGAGACGTTTCAAAAGTCATCTGAAAGGGCCTCACACCTCGCTGCTCTACGAGCCATGCCTTGATACTCGAGTTGAGAATCAGGCCACGAAAGGAGAAATTTCAGGAGAAACCATTCGTTCGAGAGAGAGGAGGGCACCTGGTGGGAGGAGGAGGCGGGGCGGTACGTGACTTGAGCTGCCAGCCGCAAGTCAGTCCATCCGTTAGCAGCATCGTCCCATGCCGGAGCCTCTGTCACTCTCGCCGTTCTCCTGAAACGTCTCCACCTACTTTCTGTGTCCTCCGCACCCACTCCACTGTCGCTGCTGCTGCCACTGGTGTTGTTGCTGTTGGTGATGGAGGTAGAGGAAGAGGGTGACTGAGTCGAAAGAGAGGAGGTGGCACCGAGAGGTTGTGAGGAGGAGCGGTTGGCGAGGGTGTCAAAGGTGAGTAGTGCCACGAAGAAAGCCCGCTGCCTGCAGCAAAACGCAGAGGGGTGATGGAGAGTGGAGAGGGGTAATTGAGTGGAGAGGGGTGATTGAGTGGAGAGGGGTGATTGAGTGGAGAGGGGTGATTGAGTGGACAGGGGTGATTGAGAGTGGAGAGGGGCGATGGAGAGTGGAGAGGGGCGATGGAGAGTGGAGAGGGGCGATGGAGAGTGGAGAGGGGCGATGGAGATTGGAGAGGGGCGATGGAGAGTGGAGAGGGGCGATGGAGTGGAGAGGGGGCGCTTGATTGCAGGCAAAGAGACGGGCAGTGGGAGATGTGATATGAGTGCATGCACGGCACGAGAGTGCATGCATAGCAGGGGGCGGTGGGGTAGCAGTGGGGTAGGGATGGCATGAGGGCGACGGGTGGAGGGAGAGGAGAGGAGAGGGGAGAGGGGAGGGAGAGGAGAGGGGAGAGGGGACGGAGAGGAGAGGGGAGAGGAGAAGGAGAGGAGAGGGGAGAGGGGAGGGAGAGAGGGAGAGAGGGAGGTGTGGTGGACACAGCACCTACAACCAACATCGAACGCGTCTCCAGAGCTCTAAGCTGGCTAAGCTGGCAAACCCTGGCTCTCTAAGCTGCATCTCTAAGCTAGCTAAACTGGCTCTCTAAGCTGCCTCTCTAAGCTGGCTAAACCGGCTCTCTAAGCTGCCTCTCTAAGCTGGCTAAACTGGCTCTCTAAGCTGCCTCTCTAAGCTGGCTAAACTGGCTCTCTAAGCTGCCTCTCTAAGCTGGCTAAACTGGCTCTCTAAGCTGCCTCTCCAAGGCCTCCGCAGCCCACCTGCCCGTTATGACACACCTGCAACCAACATCGAACGCGTCTCCAGCTGTATCGAATGCTGCCACATGCAATGCGAGTGACAATAGCACCACCAGTGACATCAGCAGCACCACCACCAGCAGCAGCAGCAACAGCAGCAGCAGCAGCCAGCAGCAGCGGCATATGCAGACACAGACCATCCCAGCCAAGCAAGAGAACAGCAAAGCAGGGCATGGATCAATATTTGAATCACGCATTGTGCTTGCTCAGGAAGCTTGCTCAGGGCACACGCCTAGCTAGGCACTGCTCCTCGCAGCCCTTCCCCGCCCCTGTCTCCCAGTCCGTCTCCCAGGCCCACCAGTCACGGAGAAGCACGTGCGCTGGTTGGCGAGAGCCCTCTCCGCGCCCGCTCCTTCCACCTCCACTCGCCCGAACCTCACCACCCCCGTGACGCTCCACCCTTCCCCCGCCCTCCGCTCCTCCTCCACCCCGCACTCCCATTCCGCCCCCTCCTCCTTCCCGCGCATTGCTTCCTCTCCTTCCTCCGCCCCCTCCCCTTCCCCGCGCATTGCTTCCTCTCCTTCCTCCGCCCCCTCCCCTTCCCCGCGCATTGCTTCCTCTCCTTCCTCCGCCCCCTCCCCTTCCCCGCGCATTGCTTCCTCTCCTTCCTCCGCCCCCTCCCCTTCCCCACGCGTTGCTTCCTCTCCTGCCCGCGTGTCCGCCGACTTTTTTGTCGCTTCATTCTGCGCCATCCGCGATACAGATTCACGGCGTGCCCCTCCATCCTCTGTGGGCCTGGCCTGCTGCTCCGTTATAAGCAGCCCCGCTGCTCCCCGGTCACGCTGCGACGGCGCCGCCCACTGCGACCAGTACAGCTTCACGGGCTTGTCAATAACTGGAGGCCGGTGGGGAGATTAGGAGGAGAGAGTCGCTCCGGCGGGTACGGATGAAGAGCCGTTTGTTGGTGGGTGCGGTGCGGGAGGGGGAAGTAGGAGAACGGATTTGCATTGCAGCGCTGATAAGATGACAAGGCCAGGCCTTGTACTATTACAGCGGTCAGTGGTCCCTCCTTCAGGGAGAGTGACAAACGCTTTCAACCTGAGAACCAGGGGATTCGCATGAAACAAGTTTGCGACTGGTAACACTGTAACACCGCGTCTCACAAGGGGTGCGACAGAAGCCACGCGCAAAGGCGTGTAAGCAGGGACAATGCGAAATTGGCCATTGGTCCAGAAATCTGTTTGACACACGTAAAGCATCTGTAACTAACAATTTTAGTACAGAATGCATACTGCGCCATCTCTCACGAGTTGCAACGAGGGGTTTTTAAGGACATGTGCGCTTCAACTCGAAGCATGAAAGGAGAGCTGGAGCACTGCTCGATCATATCGCATGATCATATCGCATGATCATATCGCGACGATCATGTCGCATGATCATGCCGCATGATCATATCGCACGATCATATCGCATGATCATGGTATCGCACATTAGCCAGCACAGAAGCAAAGCAGTCACTGTGGGGAGATGAAACCGTTGCTCGTGACAAGCCAGATGCGCAAGCCGAATGGCATTCGCCTGCTGCACTCACGCGCTGCGATGCCCCCGGGCGAATAACTGAGCACGGCGTGGAAGGCCACGTAGACGGACAGCGCGCCGAGCGGCAGCAGGGCGACGCCTAATGATCGGACTCCCACGCGCCGCCGCTCGACTCGAGTCGCCGATCCTGCCGCCACGCCAGCTTCCATTTTCGTACTACTAATTGTTAAGGACTAAGTGCCTTGGCCTGTTCTCAGACGAGATTATTGGAGTGATAGCAACAGTACTACTAGAGATGGTACTGTTTTCAAGATCCATTCCAATATCTATTTCAGCGATGATTTCAAATATAACGTGAATTGTGAAAAAGTAACGCGTACGGTCACTGTATCGGGTTTGCTGACGGGTTTGGTAAGCGGGGTCACTGATTCAGTCACGCGAATGGTCACACATGTAACTCCCGCCAAAATTTCTTGAAACTTTACAAAACTCTTGAAACTCTACAAAAAAAAATGCTAAAACCCAATCGGAATCGGATGCAGTTTGGAAACGGATCAACCCTAAACACCTGGCGAGTTGTGTTTAGGGTTGATTCATACGAAAATGCATCCAGGTTCGTTTTGGGTATTATCTTTTTTTGGGCAGAAGTTTCATCAGTGACCATTCTGTTAGAATAATGAACCAGGATGGATGAACTATGAAACAGTTGGGTACAAGTACTAACCCTAATTGGGTTGTACCCCTTATGGGCTACCCCACTATAGCCTACACAAATGTAACCACTATAACATTCTGAGACACCCCCATAGGCAAAGTAGGGGAGAACAAGTGGTGACAAGACCAGTCAAGAAAAGCAAAGCAAGCTCAGAGTGGATCACGAAGTCACCACACAGTCCGAGCAGAAGCAAAGGGCCACAAAGCCAGTTCACATGCAGAGTTACCGTATTACCTCGGATATAGGCGCATATGCGCCTATAATAAAATCATTTTTTTTAGGGGTGGCGCTTGTAATTGAATAACGGCCATAAGCGCCGGCGCTTATATCATGGCAAAAATGAATTTGTTATTTTTATGTACCAAATCGAAGCCCGCAATAAGGCGAACACAATTGAGTAACGTGCGCGTGGGATAATGCATGTAATCCCGCCGAAAACTGATGCGCTTCGATTCCTGACCGCACAAATCCCGTCCAGGAGCAGCGCACCTGCCAGCGCTGACGTGAAAGTTGCCTTGCGGCCCAATCAGGCTTTCATGCGCTGGCAGGAAGCTGCATTTCACCCGAACCATCGAGAAGGGGCTGGAATGCCCTGCCAGCGCAGCATCTTCGTGCCGCGATAACCTCCTCTCCGGGTTCAGACGGGGGGTACCCGTCTCTCCCCGACGAGGACCCCGAGGCGCTAACCAGAAGGGGTCCCTTTGAATCTCTCATTTGTTCTCCATTTCTCTCAGTTTCTCGTTCAGTTTCTTGGTCGTTCTCGCCTGGCTGCGGAAGCCATGGCGGAATTCAGCGGCACCCACTTCTTGTTCAAGAAAAAGCCTACGCGAAGGCCCGCGTTTAGAGTAGACGCTGACGGGTGGTACTCCCGTATCCCACCAGAACCACCAGAGCCACCACGGCCTCCTGCGCCTCCTGCGCCTCCTGCGCCTCCTGCTCCTCCTTTGCCTCTTGCACCTCATGCGCCTCCTGTTCCTCCTGCTCCTCCGCCTCCGAGTCCTGTGTCTCCGCAACTCACTGGCAATCAGCCCGTGCTCACGCTACTGTGTCAAACATTATATATGTTGTGTTAGTTTAGGCTACAGTGGGTTAGCCTATAGGGGGTACACAATTCTAGGGTTAGGTACTTGTACTCTTTTCATTGCTAGTTCATTCATTCCTGTTCAGTGATTCCAACATGGTATAGAGCAGGTCCTTCCTAGGACCGAAATTTTCTAAGGGCCCACCACTACGTCACTACCTACCTACCTACCTACCCGTGCCCTAGGGCGCCTCGGCGTGTCACGCCCCTAGAGGCCCCCCTTGACGGCCCCGCGCTAGCCCCGTTCAGGCCCCGTCGGCCCCTTTAAGGCCCCGTTCAGCCCCGCGCTAGCCCCGTTTAGGCCCCGTCGGCCCCGTTTCAGGCCCCGTCGGCCCCACGCTAGCCCCTCTCAGGCCCCGTCGACCCGCGCTAGCCCCGTTTCAGGCCCCGTCGGCCCCCTTTTCAGGCCCCGTCGGCCCCGCGCTAGCCCCTCTCAGGCCCCGTCGGCTCGCGCTAGCCCCGTTTCAGGCCCCGTCGGCCCCGTTTCAGGCCCCGTCGGCCCCGCGCTAGCCCCTCTCAGGCCCCGTCGGCCCGCGCTAGCCCCGTTTCAGGCCCCGTCGGCCCGCGCTAGCCCCGTTTCAGGCCCCGTAGGCCCCGCGCTAGCCCCTCTCAGGCCCCGTCGGCCCCGCGCTAGCCCCATTCAGGCCCCGATCAGGCCCGCGCTAGCCCCGTTTCAGGCCCCTTCGGCCCCGTTTCAGGCCCCGTCGGCCCCGCGCTAGCCCCGTTCAGGCCCCGTCGGCCCCTTGCTAGCCCCGTCAAGGCCCCGTTTGGCCCCGCGCTAGCCCCGCTCAGGCTCCGATCGGCCCCGCGCTCGCCCCTCTAGGGCCCCAACCGGCCCCGTGCCTACCTCGCCGACCCGTGCCCACCACCCAGAGGCCCCGGGCGGCCCGTTCCCGCCGCAGCACAAGAGGGAGAGCGGGCGGCCCGTCCCCGCCATGACCTGAGCCGAGTCGCGCGCCCCGAGCCGAGCCGCGCCACCCAGCCGAGCCGCGCCGCCCTGCCCTACCTGGTTCGTCCTACCTGCTTCTCCTACCGCTACTGCTGCTATTTCTACTGTTCCTATGGCTAGCCCACAGGTTCTCGTGTTCGATGCTGAGGGCCGCCCTGTGAAGTTTGACACCTGGCTCGATGACCTGCACCTCTACCTACAGCTCACAGCCAAGGATGACATCTCACTGTACGATCACGCCCTAGGCCTTGTCACTGCCCCTGCTACTACTGCTGACAGCACTGCTCGCTCACAGTGGCAGACTCGTGATGCCCACGCTCGCTTCGCCATTCGCAACTCCCTGCCGATAGACGAACGCGAGCACTTTGGTCAGCACAGCTGTACCGGCACTGTACACAGCTGTAGTTGCTCGCTACTCCTCACCTGCCTCTGCCGCACTAGGCCGTCTCTCCCTCCCCTACCTGTTTCCCGACCTGGCCTCCTTTCACACAGTCGCTGACCTCATCACGCACCTCCGTACTAGTGAGGCCCGCTTCCGTGCCGCCATGCCTGCTGAGTTCCTTGCCACGCACCCCCCTCCACTCTGGCTCACTCTCTATCACCTAGTCACCCGCCTCCCTGACACACTGCGTGCTGTCAGGGACCACTTCCTAGCTCGTTGCCCCACTGAGCTCACCATTGCCCTCCTCGAGAAGGAGCTACTTGCAGCTGAGGCTAGCATAGTCGCTGTAGGTGCCTCTCGTGGCGACCCCCGTACCCCGTTCTTTGAGGGGTGTTCTCCTTCCCCCCTTCTTCCCTCTGTCGCCTCTGCTGCTGCTGTCGACCTTCTTGGTACTGAGAAGGTCGGCACTGCGTCTGCCTCGAGCGGACGCCGCAGCGGCAAGGGCAAAGGGGGCAAGGGTAGTGGCGGTGACGGCGGGGGAGGCGGCGGTGGGGGCGGTGGAGGCAGTGGGGGTGGTGGCTCGGCTGGAGGGGCGAGTGGTAGCGGTGGGGGTGGTGGCGGCAGCGGCGGGGGAGGTGGCAGGAGTGGAGGCGGCGGTTGGGGAGGCGGTGGACGAGGCGGCGGCAGGGGTTGGGGTGGTCGAGGAGGTGGCAGCGGTGGTGGTGGCCGTGGAGGCGCTGGCGGTGGCCAGGGCCAGCAGCACACTCTCTCGCCCCAGGAGGTCCGTGAGTGGTACTCTCAGCACGGGGGTGGGGGTGGTCTTAGCTGCACGTACGTCATTCGCACTGGTGACCGCACTGGTCAGCAGTGTGGACGACCGCACGCCACACAGCGCTGCTTCTCTCGTCTCGACGACGCTTGGCGTGTTCAGTTCCCTCAGGCCACTGAGCTGCCCCGCTGGCTTGATCTCCTGAAGAAGGGGATTGATATCTATGCTCTAGACTTTGATGCTATTCTATCTGCCATGTATGTGATGTCTACTAGTGGAGAGGGTGCTGAGTACTTGTGTGTGCCGCCCGACCCGGGCATTAGGGCCAGTGCGTCTGCCGCTCCAGGTACTCACGTGTCGGCTACCCCAGGTACTGGTGAGGCTGCTGCTCTAGGTGCTCGTGTGTCTCCCCCCCTTGGTACTGCGTCGACTGCCGCACTGCACACCTTCACACTGGACTCAGGTGCTTCTCGCTGCTTCTTTCGTGACCGCACTGCCCTTGAGCCGCTTACTCGGCCAGTTGCTGTCTCCCTTGCTGACCCCTCTGGGGGTCCGGTCATTGCGACCTCTTCCACTGTCCTTCCCTGCCCTGCGGTCCCGTCGGGCACACTGTCAGGTCTCCACCTCCCCTCGTTCTCTACGAACTTGGTGGCAGGCTGTGCACTCCAGGACGGGGGTGTTCACCAGTTCACCCCTGCCTACGAGCGCGTGACACACTGCACGTGTGCTCGTACGGGCCGTCACTTGGCTACCTTCACTCGGCAGCCGGGGTCGGACCTGTACACACTGACTACTGAGTCCCCTCAGGTTGCTGCGACTGCGTCCGCGTCCGCGTCAGGTCAGCTGTCCGCCCCCTGCTCGTGTCGCTCTTTGGCACACGAGACTGTCCTCTGGCACCACCGCCTTGGCCACCCGTCTGTGCAGCGGCTTCGTGCCATGCACTCCAGGTACCTTGTCTCTGGCCTGCCCAGGGTCCTTCCTCCCCTCCCACCCTCGCCTGCTCCTACCTGTCTCCCCTGTGTCGAGGGCCGGCAGCGCGCCGCTCCTCACTCCTCCTCGTTCCCCCCGACGACTGCTCCCTTGCAGACACTCCACATGGACGTGTGGGGCCCAGCCCGCGTCCGTGGTCAGGGTCAGGAGAGGTACTTCCTGATAGTTGTTGACGACTACTCGCGCTACACCTCGGTCTTCCCCTTGCGCACCAAGGGTGAGGTCCCTGATGTCTTGATCCCTTGGATCCGCCGAGCCCGTCTCCAGCTCAGCGAGCGTTTTCACTCGGACTTTCCTGTCCTGCGCTTGCACTCTGACAGAGG